GTTACCAGCAATGTTGTTAAAAATACTATTTAAAAATATATATTTAAATACTTTTTCTAATAAGTATCTAAATACAAATATAAATATATTCAAAAAATATTTAAGGTACTTTTAAATACATTTTTTAAGCTTTGTCATTGACAGTTACTTAATTCTCAAAACATTAAGACAATATTACATTCATTTCTAGTGACTAGTGATTATTTTAATAAATTAATGTTAACGATTATTATCGAATAACGAGTATGTGAAATATTGGAATTCGGGGTGTCGCCGTGCTACGATACCATAAAATAAAAATAAGCAAATAGATATATGATATACGATACACTGGATATATAATTTTCCCGTAATATTTTTAAATATTTTTTGTCGATAACATAATTTATAATCGTCAAAACGATTATCGTCTCATCTCATCGACGATAAGTAATTTCTTCAAAATCGAAAAACCAAACTAAAAATCTTGTTTGAAAATTTTGTATTTAATATTTTTAAATAAAAAATATAATAAGTATTTAAATACTAATATTTATGTAAATATTTAACAAGTATGGTTACCAGGGTAAAAGATATTTTGTAAATACTTGATGTATTTAATTTGAAATGTACATGTAAGTATGAAGTTCATCTGTATACATTGAGTGTAAGTTTTGCCTGTATATGGTTGAACTGTATATATTTACACAAATTTTTGACAACATGAATACCGAATGTATTTTATAATATTTGACATTTTCGTAATAAATAATAATGTAATCACTGTCGTGTTTAAATTTAAATCGTTCACTATATGTTTCAATAATATAATGTATAATATTTCAATTTAGCAAATTAATATTTTAACTTAAATTTAATATTACAATACAGTCATTAAAATGAATTAGTTTTATAAAAGTATTATTTTAATGTCATTAGAGTATACCATGAAATATTATACATGAGTTATAAACATATTCTAGAATTCATTAACGGATTCATGTACCACACCCGAATGAAGATTAAATGAACAATATCGCGTGTTATTGTAATAATCGTATATTTCTTATCCGACCTTTTGCAAAATAATACGTATATCAATATAAAATAATAATAAATATCAATTAATCTGATAAAATGGATAGGGGCAGGGCCGGGTCAAAGTATAGGTGAACTAGGCACTTGCCTAGAGCAGCACTTTAGTAGGGGTGGTATTTTCAAAATTGACTCGTACATTTTTTTTATATCTATCGGTGTTTTATAAGAAAAATATTTAAATTAATTCATCCGTGAAAACCACTTATCTATATAATAAAATAATATTGTCTAAAGTTATAGTATTACTTTATATTAAGGCCTATGCTGGGCGTTTTCAATTATTCCAAAAATATAAATAACCACAGAATCACTTTCGTGATTTCCAATAGTCGTGATAGCAATAGTGATGGGTTTTGAGTAATATGTAATTATAGAAATAATTTTAGTCTTTGTACATATAAAAAAAAAAATGTAAAAATTTTTTAATTTAGATATGTCACATAAAAAATATGGGGAGAGGCTAAGTTAAAATGAGAGCGCAATTTTTTTTTTTAGAAGCGGCAAAATGTAGTTTTGCCTAGTACGCTATTTCTGCTTAGGCCGGCCCTGGGTGGGGGGGAAACATTTATCTTCATATGAATTAATTTTTAATTATAAAATTATGTTATTTTATTTTATTTTGATTTCAAGGATCATAGTTTATCATAAAATAATATCTTTCTTCTGACTGTAGTATAAACAAATTATCGCTACTGTATTTCATATCTCATAATAAACCAGTCTATTAATAACACTAACTATAATTATTCGTATGCCTTTACAGTTAATTTTTTATAAATTTTATACTGTAATTCTCAAACCAAATATTACTAATCAGGTTAGTATTCTATAGAATATTCAAATATATGGATCACATATTTAATTTTATTAAATTAAATTTTGTATATTCAGTATCGTAGCAAACATATATTGCACTTGGGATGAAACTTCAAAATGTGCCCTTGTGAATTTTTAATTTATAAAATAATATAATAATAAGATATTATTTTTAACAATTGCTTCAATTATTAAAAAGAACGTTGAAGTTTTTGAAAATAAAATATACAACATTGTAATTCTTAACATATGTTCACATATATTAAGAAAAAATGAAAAATAAAATCGCAACTCTTCCGTTAAGTTAATTTTATAAAAAGCATACAATATGTATGATTTTAATAATGACTTAAAATTATTATAAGTTCCAACATAAAATTATTTTGATAGGACACTTTGTTAATAGTCAACGATTTTTTTTCTTTAGATATCATTAAAATAATAACAAAAAAGAATAATGAGAGATGAAGAGAATATGGTTTTGTCTAATTAAAATAAGATAAATGATTGTTTAGCTTTATATTTTGTATTCACGTTTACCAATGTGTATTGTATTGTGTACTATCTAGTCACGGCATAATAACAACAGATAAACGTACAATTTAATTAAAAACGATTGTCAATTTCCAATAATATATTATTTATAAAAATATATTAGACTATAAATATTTTTAAGTTCTCTTTCATCTATAGTGTGAAGTTTTTGTAATAAATAATTTATACACAATAATTCCCTCTTATATTCGTATACTTGTTCTCATATCCATTAAGTCTATGGTCATACACATGGATGCCGACTATAGGGGTGCTGCGATGCTCGAGCTCCCCGTGAAATAAATAAAACATGAATATTTAATATGTTAATATTACATGTCATGTAGAAAAAAACATTTTTAATTAATAAGTTTTGAGTTTTCTTATTATTTCGGTCGTGCTATCGCTGTCCGTCGACGACGACTGCGACCATAGCGATGCTATATTTAGTACTTATGAATTAATAATAATGTATTGTGTCTGTAGTAGTCTGCACTCTGTAGTAATAAGTCTGTTTTGTTGATTTAATTTTTTTATTTTCATTAGGTAATTAGGATTTCTATTTAGGTACAAGTTAAATAATTTAAGATTTTAAGGCACCCCATGATAATTTGAAAATCCGGCGCCCATGGTTATGCATTCTTATTATTAAATATTTTTTTTTTCTAGTAAACATTACTGTAATATAATTAGAGGAATTTTGCGTTTTTGGCACAGTATAAGTAGATGTAATGTAGCAACAAAAACCGAGAACAACAACAATATCCTTTATAGTGTGCATATTAAAGTCATAAAAAGTCAATGACTACTCAAAAACCAGTCATCCAAGCAATGCTTAACACAACTTTTTACACAATCGTGTTATTAAGTGGAGTGTATGCGAGTTTGTATGTGGGTGTTTGAGGAAGAAAGAGAGAATTAGAGGGAGGAGAAAGGAGGACGGGAGAGAAAGAGAGGTTATAATTGGAATATTTTAACGATATCCAGAGACCTATGGGTCGCAGAACTAGAGGTAAAAAAGTGTCGCTATTTGGATGGTGCCAACTAGTCGCATTATTTGGGGGGGGAAGGGTAAATTCATGTACTTTCCACAGTCTAGAATTTAGTTATTCCAAAGTCGAAGCTTCATCAAAATATGAATAAGTATTTCATAAAGCTATTGACATGTATTGAATCAGAAAAATGAGACGTGTACTATACGGATACTTAAGTACAAAGTGCGAATCATTAAAATTTTGGACTGGTTTGACGTGCCCCACGTTAATCGGCACTTTGATAAAATGAACCGACGAGTCAGTAATTTAATAAGAGCGTGCCGACTGTCCTACTCTAGTAAAAATTGAAATTACGCCACTGGTGCCAGAGTTGAATACAACGACCTCGACGTGGGTTTGCACGCGATGTACAACAAACGTGTAGAATTGAGAATAAAATACGTAAAAAACAACAGAAATCGTGCGTCCCACGCCAATTAAGACTAAGTGAGGCGTTTAATGAAAAGGGATTTTTTTTTGTCGAGAACTTTGAATGAAAAAAAGATCGCCGTCGGGATAAATACAGGTATAAACGACGGTATCGGTAGACAGCATGTCGAACGTTTGGATAATAATAAAACGTGGTACTTTGTGGACACGGTTATTACTACACGTACACGAATTTTGATCCATATGCGCGTGTGTGCTGGGCCGACGTCATAGAAACGCTTTCGCCAAGGCGACGGACTATTGATAAGCCCTGTACAAATGACGTAAACGTTGCGATCTGTCCCGATCTGGGCCACGCCGCCACCGTACCTGGTGGGTACTACACTGGCACGTATATGAGTTTATAGTAAAGTTGTACGATCGCCGCCGCCGCAGTATACCGTTGTCGTCGTCGACCGGTGAAAAAAGAATGGTGATGGCGAAGGAAAAAGTAAAAAAAGAGAGAGAGTGAGAGAGAGAGAGACGAGGTCGGGTTAGCGCGTGAGGTAGGTTTGCAGGGAGGTAGAGAGAGAGAGAAAGAGAGCAATATATACGGTCACATATAGTAGAGATAATCGAAACAAAGAGTTAGAGCGAGAGAGCGCAAAGTATACGGGCGTGCGCGCAATGCCCTCCCTCCCACCGCGTACGCCGGGGACATGACCTACGGTTTGGTCGTCGTGTACCGGTCGTCCCGGCGGCGACGGTAACGGTCGACGAACGGGCTCGAAGCGATGACGGCAGGGTGTCGGGGCCGCCCGGGAGGACGAGTTTCACGCACACACGCACAGGGCTCTCGGTCGAATTTCGCGGTCGCCTCAGCGGCGGTCGGGGAGGGGCTTGCCGGTTGGCCGAATAGAAAAACCGTGTAGGAGCTTTCGGTGCGAACCCGCTGCGGAGGCGGACGAGCCGGCGCGTGTTCGGCGACGTCGCGCGCAAATAATTTCGATCCGACGACCGTGGTCACACTGTCGACCGACGGCGGCAGAACGGCGGTGGCGGTAGTACGGGCGGCGGTGGGGCGAGGAACGTACGGCGGCGAATCAATACGACAGGGCGCCGCCGCCGCCGCCGCCGCCGCAGGAAAGTTGTGCCGTCTCGGTCGCACCAACGCCAGCCCGATGACGGTGGCCCCGTAGTCGCTCTCTCTCTGTCACCGCATCTGTGCGTGTGTGCCTCGCGCGTCGTCGACGTCGTCTCTTCTCGTTCTCTCCCTTCGAGTTATTTTCTGTCTCGGCCCTGTTCCGCGGGGCACAAGGAAATTTTTAGCCTATTTCACCTCTCTCCTACCTCGAACACACTCACTCCACTCGCTCACCAACACACACACACACGCATTCATTCTCCCACTCACACACACACACAGGCGCGCGCGCGCCAACACTGACTCACACGGTCCGCCGAATAATATCGCCTTTTTAATTCCGCTCGCGCGGGCGTCCGTACGGTTTTTCATACGTACGACACATTAAAACACACACACATATACACACACACACACACACACACACACACACACACACACATAAATACATACACACACACACACATATTGGTCGTGCGTTGTGCGTGTGTTTTTTGTTTCGAATTTTCTCTAACCTTTTGCCGTGTCGAAGTGGTAATTTTTCCGCTCGTCCCGTTAAGACGACCGCGGCAACCGCAACAACTACGGTGAACACGGCGATCACGACGACGACCACGGACACCTAACCGGCGACGGCCGACCACGGCGATCACGACGACGACGGGGGCGAGGAGCGCGACGGCGGCCGCGACGACCATACCAGTGTGACGATCGTTTTTTAGTGATATCCACCGAGAGAGATTCGGCTCCTGCGCCTGTAGACCCGTACCGGTACACCGCATCCACGGAAATATGTGCTGGAATCCGCTCAGCGTCGTTGTGTGCAGCGTCGTGTTCTGCGCCCTGTTGGACTTCGCACCCTCCGGGGTTTTGGGTACGTTTTCGGTCTCGCAGCTGTGTGCAATAGTCTCGTCGCTCAAAGCACGACTTTGGGCGTTGACCCATATTGCCGATAATGGAATAATTACATTTTAGTGAAAATCCGTGTTTAACTGGACTAAATAATAAATTTTGTTCTTTTATTCCTTGTAGCCAAGTCGGTCCCATTGTGTTCTTTTGTAGCCCGTCCTGTTATATTTGTCTCAAAATGCCATGTTATAAATTGTTTTATGTATCGTCTTTGACCAACAAAACCGCCCTGCTAGACATTTTCATCACTTCGTCTTACACTGCTATACGAACGCTTCAGCTTTGGATTCTGTCCATTTTTATTTCAAGAACTAATCATTTTATGTAGACCTAAAAATATATTGGTGTGGTACAAATTGCAATTTATATTAAAATTCGGTCAACAAGTAATACAGTTTATTATATCTATGTATGTATACCATAATATAGGTACTAGATATTAAATACGAATAGGGTACAAATTATACATCCATGTTTTATGAAAAGATAAGTCTGAAATATACGATTTTTTGTTTTAAAAGTTAAATGTGATAAGTACAAGTCTAATTTTTTTGTATATAGTTGAATTTTTAGATTAAAGAAATACAAAATGAATAAATTGTATTATCTTATAACTAAAAAAATTTTAGTTGTCTTGTCCATATAACCTATTTCGGAATTTCACTAAAAGTATAGTCGAACATGTTGATACAAATCAAGTAATTTATGTATTTTTTTTTCTTATTGGTATAGTTAAAAACCATTTTCTTCGTATTTACTAAAATCTTTTAAAGCTGTATTTAATTTTACACATTATAATATGGTTATTTCCATTATCAGACTATTTCTTTTAAACTTGAATTTATGTATAATGGTATTTTAGATAAATTACTTTATTATTTTAATTTTGTTTCAATGTAGGTAGGTACCTAGATGTATCATTTTCACATATAACAGTAGTTTGATCATCATTGAATATAAAACTATTGTTTTATTTTTACAATACCTATGTGTGTATGTGTGTGTGTGTTTGTGTGTATGTTTGTATATGTATAATTTTATATATATAATTTCTCTTTATGGTCAAATAAAATAATTTAAGTCCGTCCAAAACTGAGTAGTCAATGAGGTATTAAACAACAAATGTGTAGGTACTATATATATATATTTTTTAATCTTTTATAAATTGGTTCTTAACTAGGGAAATGTACTATTGCGTAATTGAAACTGTTCAATAAATACATTATAAAGTATACACCACTTTATTGTTTATTATATAGTTTTTATTTGTTTAATTTAAATTTATTTTTCGTGGTTATGGGGTGTGAAAACATATGTTTATCTTGGAAACAAAATTGGACAACATAGCTGACGAACCCAGTTACGAGGGTAACACAACAGTGAAGGAAGGCGAACCATTTAAGATAACATGTCGTGTGTCAGTGTTTCAAGTGATAAAATGGCAAAGGGATGGCCACAACCTGGTACCAGATGAACACTACAATATCAGCGAGGATGTAACTAGCAACAATTTATTTGTATCCACAATTTCAGCCAATTCTGCATCTTCGATGCACACAGGCGCATATCGATGTACAACACAGTACAACAAGTTTCATGTACTGTATGTGGTTACCGGTACGTGCCGGCTATGATGAGCTTTTAAACTAAATGTCCATGTGCCCGGACCGGTTCGCCTCGCTTCATTTTTGGCTCGCATATAAATTAACTGTTGCGAATAGAAACTTTCCAGTATACTGTGACATCTCATATAGAGTAGATTTATCATTGTGTTAGGTATTTAACCCATTACTATTGTCAGTTTTTTTTGTTTGCATTATTTGTTTATAGACTTTGCATTTGAAAAAAATACATAAATATATATATATATAAAACATTAAACCTCTCAGGTATTCACATAATTGTTTTTACTAATGCATATAATATGTAATTTGTTGATGTTGTGTAAAATCCAATTTAATGACCTATATGTACATTAGATATTCACTTAATATCTAAGTCCTGAAAAACATTTAGATTTATTGGTTTTTACTATAGTTTTGAGTAGTAATTATTTAATATTTATTTTTTGTTTTGTTATAGCTGATGTAACTGTAAAAGCAAACTATGACTATGGTGAAAATTATAGAGTAGGTCAATATAAAACAAAATTACTTCTTCATTGTAGTATCGAAGGCAATCAAGATTCAATAAAATACATATGGAAGTGGTCAGTTTACATATAACAAATATTTCAGTTTTAAAAATAATAAATTTATAACAATTGTTTTTTAGGTTCAAAGGTGATCAGGAAATATCTTCAGATGATGATACACCCCACCACGTTGAAGTAAAAGAAAATGAGTTAGTAGTTAACCGTTTTGTTGAATCTGATGCTGGTCCATATACATGTAAACTACTCAATTCTAATAATAATCAAGTGCTTGGTTCAAAATCGTTCAACGTTATCTGTTAGTATATTATATTTTATCATTCTTTAATTTTGCTTGATATGCATATTTATTTAAGTTGAATTAAAAATAATTTTTTTATCTATATGCATATTATTTGTATTAATAATTATGTTTTAATAATAAAATAATTTTTAGTTTTGTAGAAATTGTAACTAAAATGAAATTTTTATTATTAAGGCACACTTTATACATCTTTAAAAAACTCATTATTCTTGTCATGTACTGTTGTGTTACAAAATATAGCATACATTCTATCATGTCTTTCTACACATAATTGACTACTTTTACTTGTGTGCCTACTTGTTATTATTGTTATTTATAGTTGTCACAACTTTTTATTTTATAATTTGAAAATTTGCTTTCATGTGTATGGTATTTGTATTTAATACTTAATTATAATTTGATTGTTAAACACTTATTTATTTTTTTAATACATTTTTAAATAATAATACATTACTTATACTATTCATTTTATTTTGAACTTTCATTATGAATATGAAATATTAATCTATCAGCTATTTTAAATTTTTAATATTAATTAATTTTATATCTAAAATGTCTACATTATATTAGATATACATTTCTTAAAATTATTTTTTTTTTAAAAAGTTGAAATCTTAAACCATTTAACTTGCTACTAAAAATATTATGAATGTATTAAATTAATATTATTTTTGTTAGCTTTAGTTTTCTAAGGGAAGTAATTGAACTTAATTATCTTAATGAACAATTGAATTTGCTAAACAGATTTATTTTATTTAGTTAAAAAAAAAAAAAGAACAAAAGTATACAATTTTACTAACAACATTTTAACAACAAAAATATAAGTTCATAAATAAATTATTAATAAATTTTATTATATTTTTACAGTAAAACCTTACGTGAAACTGCCAAAAACTGCTACATATATTGAGGGTGAAAAAATGGAATTGGAATGCATTGTATTTGGTAAACCTACACCAGAAGTTAGTTGGAGATTTGGTAAGTATTTGTAAAACATTCATTTTTTTATATTAACATTTTTTAATTGACTGATTAACTTGATAATTAATTGATATATTATTTGTTTTAGAAAATAACACTCTTTTTCCTTCCGAACACATTAAATTTCTAGCCAACAAGAGGAATATTAGTAATGCCATATTGGTCTTGGATCCGATCACTATGAAAGATAGAGGAAACTTTTATTGTACTGGAAAGAATTCTGTATTTCTTGATCCTGTAGTGTCCGACCCTTCCTATGTGCGCATTAAAGGTAATACGATTAAAACATTATTTGTTAAATAATTATAATTATTATTATTATATATATATTTTTTATGTATAGATAAAATGGCTGCTTTGTGGCCTTTTTTGGGTATTTGTGCTGAAGTAATTATATTGTGTTTGATTATATTTATATATGAAAAGAAACGCAACAAGGCTGAATTTGAAGAAAGTGATACCGACCAAGGGCCAGAGACGTAAGTAAGATTGCTTTATTTTTATTAATTGGATTACACCTTAAGAATTAAATCAAACTACTATTTAAAAAAACTTTTAACATTATAACATTTTTATGTAACTATAAGATTTTCATTAACAAATATTTCCATATTATTATTCTTCAATCAATTTTAAATTATTATAATTTACAGAATACACACTTGTAATAATTTTGGGCAAAAAAATTAAAGAATCTATATGATATAGTCACAGATAATCTATGCTAATATTTTATCCATACTATTATAAATATTAATTATTATGTAATATTATTAAATACATATTTATATAAATTACTGTACAAATAATAATTTATTTTTATAGTAAGATTATATTATTATAGTAAATTACTTCTATATAATATTATTATTATTTGCATATATTTCATACTGTAAAAAAAATTTTAAGTAAGAAAAATGTTATTACTCTTTAATAAAATTTCTTTTTAACAAATGTTAAAAAAACTATCAAATTTGTTAGTGAAAAGTAGTTAAGTTCATACATTTTTGATTCACATTATATGTGAATATTGTTATTTGTTGTAGAAAAAATATGGACAAATCATCTTAACATGATCTAGTTCAGTGTTTCCCAAACCATGGGTTGAAATTTTTTGGATGGGTCGCTACTCGTGGTTACAACTACAGTTGTTTTAGCCGTAAATTGATACCTCTCTAACCGTGGTTTTCAACCTTTTTAACAATGTGGCACACTTCATTTAAAACAAAGTTTTCGCGGCATACTAATTCATATATTATGTGAACCATATATATATATATATATATATACTGTTTACAGTCTACTCTATTAGAAGGTTATTTATTGAGAAATATATTAATACAATCGATCGATCGAGACGGCTACGACGGGCTTAATTACAATAAATAATATTATATGTATCTACTATTAGTTCGATCAATTTTCATCTCGAATATCAGTAGTAAGCTGATAAATACATACTTTTAAAACAATTTATAGATTTATCGCGGCACACCGGTTGGGAACCACTGCTCTATAATAAAAAGTCTATATTGTATAATAATGTGAAGTCTAACTTGATTTTTTTTTAGTAGGGTGTCACGTACCCAAAAAAAGATTAAGCTTATAGGTCGCCATTGCAAAAAGTTTGGGAAACTCTGTTCTAATTAGATATTAATGTTGTGACCTAATATTTTATCTTAAATGATTACAACTTTTTTTACAATGGATTTGTTTCACTCTTTTCAGAAATAATGCTAACGATCATAGTGGAGGTGATGTTCGACACCGGAAATAACTTGACAGTTAAATGAATAAATAACACATTTTAAACAAAGGTCATAAGTAAGGAATAAAGTTTTAGATACAGATGCATTAGGTTTGCCAGACCAATTTTTATTTATGTTTTTAGAAAAATTTTATCATAGTTGTTAACAAATAACTAATTGAAAACAGCTATTTGTTTTGGTCCAGCTGAAACAATGTTATACTTACTGCTTATTGTATTTTTTACTCCAAACACTGAAATTGAATGTTTTCCTATATACAAACGGGGAGTAATTCAAGTTCAGTAAAAGTATACTAGCTGTATTGTGTATAAAGGTTTAGGCTCATTGTGCAGATCATTTGTTCTCCGTATTTTGTTGTGTTATTTTTATTTTTATTATTATTTTTTTTACCAAAGTTGATTTATGTTTTTATTTTTTAATAAAATACAATAATCGCGCCCCCTCCCTGCCTGTTAACCACAATGATTTGTTAAAATTTCAATGTTATCACGCCTAACTTAACCAAATCTTAAGTTTATTGTGCTTTAACAAGCCTGAATATATTGCATTTAATGCTCAATAAATGTTTATTCCTTCAGTTCGTAATAATATTAAATTTATCCTATCGTTTAACTAAAAGTAAACTACTTTAATTCTGGTCATAGATTTATTTTATAGGTAGCTTATGATAAATGTGTTGTTCAAAAAAAAAAGTTAAGAAATCTAATGTGAGTTACTTATTTGTAGGTTAGTGTTATGATAGATTATTACACGCTGATTTTATTTCTAACAATTTCACTTTTTCATCTAATTCAATAATAATAACTTCCTCTGTCCCCAGATATACATTTATTATTATTCTACTTATAAGTGGTTTATTTTATTTATAATTAGAATATTAAGGGTGCTTATCAAATTTGAAGGTTGCCCAGTTGGAAATTTATTTTTAGCAATAAGCATAAATTAAGTTTAAATCGTATAAAATTATGTTTATTATTATGTAATATATATATATAATGTCACTGCTTGTTGTTAAATTGTTGTAATGAAATTAAAAAAAAACTTTCTCCAAAACAAAACTATTTTAAGCCTATATTAACGTAGTGACATTACAATCAATTTTTTGACACCAGAGAGATATTGAAACGTTTATATTTTATTTCCTACATTGGTGTGAAAAATCTTATTTGTTACTCGTATAAGACCTTTTTATTATTTAATCAGTGTTATATTTGTAGAATTTGTTAAAACTAAAATAATATTGTTAGCATTAAATAATTAATTTCATAGTTAAAACAAGTTATTATTTTTCCACCCGTCCACATTGTATCATATTATAGACTATTTCACTTATGACTCAATTTAATTAAAAGCTTTTTTTTTTTTTTTTTAATTATATTATTCAGGTAAACAATGTTAAGTGGTAGAATTTGAAAAAAAGGTACTCTCGGAGGGGGTTGTTGTTAAATAAATATAAATTAAACTACATCTTTCATTTCTATCTATTTTGTTTATTTAACGCGTATCTGATCAAAAATTAAACACTGCCAACGGCTTTAATTTTCAGAACCAACAAAACAAATCTCATTGTATGACAAACTTTTTCTTCATAATTTTAAGATAATGTTAAATGTTATATTATTATTATTATTATTATTATTATTATTATTATTATTATTATTATCATTATTATTATTATATAGAATATATAATAACATAATATAAATGGTTTTTTTTTCAAAAAATATAATATATTCATTAATAATTCTACCACTATAGCAAATTCACTATTAAAATAAATAGTTGGCTTTAGCGGCTCAAAAGAATCGTACAAATTGTAATTTCAATAAGTATTAAGACATTCTGGGTAAATAGTTTCTTAAATGTTAACAAATAATATGTAAAAATTTTAAAAAAATTTGTAAATTATTTAATGTGACGATAATAATATTTAATGACTAATGCAGTGCTTGTGCCCTCAGAAATTTGTTCAAAATTTTCTGGGTGTGGTCCATGCGAGCCAAAACGTCAATATTTTCGTTTCTGCTCGTAGGTCACTAGAGAGCATTACTGTATGTTATTATTATTATTTTTTCCGAGTTAGTTCGGACACATACGGACTGAGTTCAGTGGTGTGAAATCAATGATTTAAACACGTGAATATGTTAGAAACGTGTTTACCCAATATGTCCTTGAGCCTTAATGTTTCTATTATGTCATTTTTACTTAAAAAAAAAAAAAAAAAAAAATAGAAATATAGTAAGTACAGTTGTTGTTATTTATATGATTATTTATTTCATCCGAGTTTTCCTCCTCATGCACTAATTATTCACTACATGGGACGATGTTTCGTGAAAGGTTATGTGGTTTTACACCACGACCGATGGCACGCTGTGTATTAATGAAATTAGTAAATAATATTCTGTCAAAATAGAATGTGTTAAAAGTTGCGTGTCGTTCCTCTGTGATAAAATTTATGTCGAAACGCTGCTACAGTATTTTTATAATATAGTAATATTAATAATCAACATACATATCGGAATAATAATGTACAATAGCACTATTGTGCCCATGGTTATATTTGTTTTTAATATTCCGATCGGTATCCGATGGTGTAATTATAATTTATGCTACGTGGTCTTTAAGTGTGTACGTTTTTTCTCGTATACTGTTTATTAATACCAAATTTACGTCTATATAAAATGTTATACTCCTACTTGTATTGGGTTGCAATTCTAAAAAAAATTTATTCAAGTGAGTTTGAACGACAAATAAAAAAAAAAATTATAAGAGATACACTGTTCTTATAATTTTTTTATTTGTCGTTCAAACTCACTTGAATAAATGTTTGTAAATGTGTGCATGATATGTAATACGTAGTACAATGATCAATCACTCACTCACCAAGTTCGAATTGAAAGCTATAACTTGTTGTCGCAATTAATTTTACCCGTGAAGTTCTATTATTTCGGTCAAGACTACAATCCGACCACTACTCTTACATAAATTATACTCAGTGGTGTATTGGAGGGTATACGTCGTATACCCGGATCCCTATTTTTGGATTTATGCGTATACCTTTAAGAAAATTCGTCTATTATGGGTATACGCTAACTAATCATTCGTACATAATGGTATACGCAAGCTTCTAATTTTTCATTACCATAAGGCTATACATCAACAGCAGTATAAAATGTATTATTATTATTATACATTATAGTCACTATTCAAAAATATCCTCGTGCCCGCATAAACTTCGATTAAATTTAATTATATTCATATTGATTAAATATATTGATTACAGATAGTAAATAATTTTGTTTTCTAGTAAAAAAAAATATTGTTACGTTAAAATAAAACTACGGTTTACCTTACCGTATTTTACGTTTCAATCCTGATCTTAATATATTATTATAATAAATATATAGTTTTCAGTAGGACAGTTAATTTTTTAGGAAGACATTTGAGACTTGTTCTTAGGTAATACAGTGACCCAGAAGATATTTTGAGCATTGATTACAGTGTGTCAATAAGAAATAAAATAATAGTTTATTATTATGCAATAATTTTTTAGATAAATATAATTTTAATGATATTATATTGTTTTATTTTTTCTATTTTTCTTTCAAATTTAATCAAATTATTTTGAATTCTCTTGATTCAATGAATGAAAATACTGTGGATCCGTTCCTTTCTTATGCATTTGAAATATATAACCTGGTTCCGACCATGATAAGCTCCTGGAAGTGGCAACAGAATATTATTATAATTATAACAGTGATTATCGGTAATTGTAAAAAAAAAATTAATCGCTTTGTGAGACATGATTCAACGCTGTTTTTTTTTTTTTTTTACATTTTCAACTAGGAAAACTTTACCGTGATACTATACCACACTTATCGTGTGGTATAGGTCTTGATATCTTTCGTTTCATGGGTAGGTACATTAATAATAATCGCCTAACCCACTCTCTTGCTGCAACTTTGCGACACAAGTTGGGTTACACAAATATATCGATAAATCAATGACGGAAGAACACGTGCGCGTTTAGAATAAAGTTCCTCTACCTGGAGCAATATTAAATAATTTATTATTGATAGTTTCAAAACTGGCTAAAAGCTATTTAATTTAAGAAGTCGGTAGGTAAATGTAGATAACAGGATGGCGATGCTACAGAAAGTTGTTCGCAGATGAAAAGACAAGTTGCACTAATTAGGTGTGCAAAGTGTTAAAAAAATAAGCGTGGCCGAAAATTTAGGGCGTCTTTATAAATCAAATCTCAGAAAAACTTATTACAATAATTACTTGTATAATAAAAATGTATTGTACACATAATATAAAACATGTTTTAAATAATAACTAAAAATAATAATAATTTTAATAACATTTTTGAAGTTAACTCTGGAAAATGCTCAGATATAAAATTTGGAAAGAGGGGGTAGCAAATTTGTATAACATAGGCGGCCAAATAAGTGAGATCGGGTCTGTTTCACGTGATAATAATTCTTTTTCCTTTCGAAGGGAGATGTAAAAAAAATAAAAAGGTAATTATTATAAATATAGATAAAATAAAATAGTACCTATCTGTCAGAGGCTAAACTAAGAATTTTTACGCTCGAGAATGAATTCCAGTCTTCCTCCTCCTAATTCCGTTTTTAGTATCGGTATGGTGAATTCAACGCGAAGAATTTAAAGTTAATTATTAGATCAATCCATTTCCAAAGTTTTCGGACATCCCCTGTATGAGTTTATAAAACCTTTATTGAATTCACATATTTATATTTCTTAAGCATTTGAAAAAGTGTGACATAAAGCCTATTATTTAAACTCATGAAAATAAATGCATCTAAATATGCATTTAATATAATTAAATTGTTTTTGACCAACCGTTTCATTGCCGTCAAAGTCAATGATGAAAAATCATACTTGAAACCAATACTTGGGAAAGTTTCCCAAGGATTTAAAATTGGGCCTATTCTATTTCATATATTTGTCTTGGATATCCCAAAGTCTCCCCATACTAACATAACACTTTTTACCGTCATCTCGACTATTTATTGTGACTCCATGAAAACCAAGGCCGTATCTATCAATTTTTTTCAGGAGGGGTCCAAAACATGTATATTGTAATTTTATTGAATTTAGATTTTAATTTTTGATATTTGGTTAAAAATAAGACAGAAAAAAATGTAATCTTCTTTTATTAAAATTAATAGCACATTTTTATATGATATTATGTTATAAAACTAAAAGTAGCCAATGGTTAATTAGAGCTTAGTTTTTTTGACAGAAAATATTTTTATTGGTATTATAAAAAAAAAAAATAATTATTCTAAACATTCGTAAAATATCAAAAAAATTTCGATACAGTCTTGACGGAAACTGACCACATAATAGACGCACTTCAGAGTCACCTGAATGAAATATTGCTCTGGTGTAAAAAGTGCAGTGCAACGTCCAGTGGATTTACTGATTCGACAGTTATGGACATACGGTTATACCGAAACAAACAGTGAAGTGGGAGCACGCGGGAAAATATACTTACTATTTACATAATGAGGTAAACGGCCTCCACCGACGCGCGATTATATCATCAAAACACTGTGATATGAGATATTATAATAAACCAGATTCGTTGACGTTACAATAAAATTAAAAAATATAAATAAATGTTGTATTATAACATTTTTAAAATTTCGATTTTGTTGACTTTGTATATCTTTGACAACGAATTTTTAATACGAAACCGTTCGTAATTTAAAAATATATTACACTTCAGGCTAAGTAATTATTTATTTATTTATTTCTTAATATAAATTATTAGTATTACAAATATTAATCGTTTACTAATTTTTAATTTTAATTTTATTTCTTATTATTTTATGAATTAAAACCATTATGAATATAATTATTTTTTCTATACTGCTCGTTTATTGTGTTTAAAAAAGAAATGCCCTCAAAAGTATCGCAATAATCTTAACCAAGAATCCAATAAGAAGTACATTTGAAATGAAATGAAGGAAATTTCAACTATATAATTTTTAAATGGATTCCTTTGCAAATCAAATTTCGACTTTGAGATAATGTAATTAAGTTTTATTATTTGAAAATTATAATTCATTTTTGGTTAATCACATTCTATATATATATATATATATATATATATATATATAATTACCCTTTCACTATTATTCATAGACTATCTATTTATAAATTATGCAAATTATAATTTTAAATCTTTCGTAATATTTTAAACATATTTTGTTAATTAGTGACTGCAGTATTGTTAACAATGATTCATACGTATAACAAAATACATATTTTTACATCGAAAATATAATTTATAATAAATAATTATTAAATTTTCATTAAATGAAATACTAAAAAATGTGCTTATAATAAATCACTGAACGGAGAATTTAATAATATGACATATATGACCTACTGACCTAAAAACTATTGTGATATAACTTAAAAAATGTGTAATAAATAGAAATATTTGATTTATATACTATTTAATTATGCAGTAAAATGATTTATAATTTAAGATAATTTTGAAAGGAAATCTGTTTAGGGAAAATGAGATATTTTTATACTTATTTAAATCTAATAAGTGATAGTTATTACATCAAATTATAAAAAAAGAACAAAAATATTTTAGCAAAACGTATATACCTACATAAATTTCGATAATTGAGTTAATTTAAAAAAGTTTATTATTTATTAATTATGGGTATTTTAAGTTCATGAATTGAGCTCAATTGCAATAATATTGCCTACTCTGTCAACATTAACATAGTATTTTATTGATTTCAAATTATATTCAAATATTTTTTTGTATATTTTTTAGCTTAATGTTCAAAAATCTTTTGCATCTGTATAATACATTGATCCAAATAAATAATTCCTGATCCGATGGCGCTAAGTATTTACATTTTTTTGTAGAGAAAAAAAATGTAAAATTGTTTTTACCTCTTTTTGTATCTAGCGGTTTTTTTTGATGCAATAAATATCTACCAGAGTGCATTTCTAACCTATCTAGAAGACCCTCGTTGCGTGCCTGTCAAAGTCCAGTGATAATCGAAGGTTCCCGTAATAGTCTTAAAGATGTAGAAAAGTCTCACTCTCCATCTGATGAAAATACCGGAAGGTTGAGAGATATCTATTTTTTTTTTTTTGGTAACTCAATATGGAGTACAAAATTTTATTCTCTTCCGCGGCGTTATGGTCCGGCGGCAAGACCATATGAATAATGGAGAATTATATTATATTTATAATGAAGAGTATTAAAATAAAAAATAATTGGAGAATTATTGGAGAATAATATTAAATATTATAAATTAAAAATAAAAAATAAAATTAAAAAAAAAATTAAATAATATAAAATTAAATTAAATTTTTTATAAATTTTATAAAACACATATATTATTATTATTATTATTATTATTATAGCATATATTGGTCGGTATATATATATATTTAAAATACAACAAAATCATTATGTTAACATTAACGAAAACCTCCGAAAACGGCGGCCACATTATATTTTTTTATATTTTATTATGAGTTTTGTCCCAGTTATATCTTATTAGTTTTTCTGATGGATTTTTACGCCTTTCCGAGTTTTCTGCATAATAAATTAATTTAAATCCAACCATGTAGGTACTTATAATTATTTTTTTTATTTATTTAGCATTTTAAAATTTTCTTCACACTAAAGATCAAAAATAGATCCCATGTACTCCGGTTTCCGAATATCAATCATAGGTTAGGTTAGGTCGCGAATATTCCGTCAATACGACACCACTAAACAGTTGAGAAATGTCGCATCTTCTATGGAGGGGGTAAAAAAAAGACTTCGAGGACCACAAGATTCAAACCATCAATTTTTCTGGTATTTCCTAACGAAAATATTCAATTTTCAGTTAATTATAATTTTAATAGTTATTTTTTTTTTTTATAAAAGAAGTTAAATAAATGCGAGTACTTGATTTAAATCGAGTCAAGTCAAATACTCGATTTAAGCCAACTAAAATTAAGTACTCGTGTTTATGAGTAGGTACAAATACTTTTATAATTACTTTATTCGAACTCACTCGAAAAAATTTACAAAAAGTGAGTACTTGTCTAACTCTATAATTAATTTTAAAATTATTATAAAAACTATTATGTATTTATTATTATTTAATTATAAAATTTATTATATTGACTTTATGCATAGTTCATCAATAAATGTTAAATATTTTTAACTGCTTGTATATTATTTAGTATTCTAAAATGTTTTGATATTTATGTATCCCAGATTATTTTAAAATAAAGCTCGTAATTATAATTATCGTATATATATGAGGTAAAATGAATCAGTATAAAGTTCTGCGAAAGTGTAACAGATTTTCATTTGTACTATTTACTGAAACCCCAGAACGTCTTTGAACAAATAAAGTATGTGGTAATAAAAAAAAAGATTATTGTATACCTATTTTAAAGGTTTAAACACTGGATATACCTGACAAGTGGTACTTTGGAAATGATACATAACAATTACAGAGAAAACTATAAAAAACCAAAAATTTTATTTGAAACAGGGTATTAAACAGATATTAGATGACAGTGATGAGTAAATTTTTTTTTATTTACTCCTTTCTTTTTCTCTAGGCTATTGGTTGGATATCTGGTTGAAAATTGGTATTGACCGCCAAAATTGACAACAATTAACACTGTTAATATTTTATTATATTTTTTAAAGAATCGAAACAGAACAACATTTTCTTAAATAAGTATAATACCAAAATTTGAAACGAATTTTTAATTTTTTTAAGAATTGAAAAGAAACTTAAACTTAAATTTTCGTTAATGTATAAGCCGAAACCTAAATTTTATTTTGAAAATGAAAAGAAACCAAAACCGAAAATTTAGTTTATTAAGAACTGGAATCGTAATCTGGACCGATTTTTTTTTCTGGTAACAGAATAGGAACCTGAACAATAAAATTCATCAAGTTTCCAGTTCTTATTTCAAATACAGTTGAGAAACGGCAACACGCGTACAACATTTAAGTTTTCCAAGGTTGATTTGTTTGTTATACAAATGTGCAATGAAAATCATCTGGAAATGTCCATTGCCATATTATTCTCTCACGATGCGCCTTGAAGGACTCTTTCATTTTTCCGAAAAACTATGTATTCGATTCGGTCCGATGGGCGCACTAATGAATGTATATCCATAACGTCGTGGACAGGTGTATTTGCATTTTCGACCCGGAGGTTAACCTAACATAATTAATATATAAAAAACAGCAGACCACATTTTCACGTATATACTCGATTGGCTCACTCACCGACGATCTTTAGTTCGACTGTTCAAAGTAAAATCAAAATTAATAATCACAAAATGATCAAGTTTTTAGCAGCGGTTGTTTGCTGTGCTGTTCTGTTGCCGATTATTTCGACTCGAGCGGCGCTGATCAAATACACTCTTAAATACGACAACATAGACCTCGACGAAATCTTGAACAATGATCGTTTGATCACTAATTACTTTAAGTGTCTAGTGGACGAGGGGAAATGTACACAAGAAGGCGAAGAACTCAAAAGTAAGTATGACACATTTAATATTTTGTTCGTTTATTAGAAATTATTTCATATATTAAATAACTTTTGTTTGGATATAAAAGTTAACGAGTTGTGTCCAAAGTGTAATACCATAATAAGCTAATATTTAAATGGAAAATATTTCCGACTAGCAGTTATAAATAATGAAAAGTAAAAAGAGTTTTGAGTTGTGAATAAAAAAATAAAAAAACAATGTAGTAGGTAATAAAATTTGAATGAGAAACTATACTACTATTTTACTAATTATATTATACTATTATTCTTCCCATTTCATGAATGTAAAGATTAGTACTTAAAAATATTTTATAAGATTTTTAAGAACTATAATTAAATTATAAATAAATATCAAGTCTCATAAAGTTAAACACTATACAGTAATAAATGTACAGTAAACAATATTAAATAGTAATCGTACTAATTAAATAATTAATTCCAAATCGAGACAACAAAAAAAAAAAAAATAAATAAATAAATAAATAAATAACTAACAATGATAAAGATATCGAATCATTAAATACCGAAATACCACTTGCATCATCTAAGAAAAATGCTTCTAATAAAAATTATGTATCAAAATATGACATAATTGTATAATTATCTCTTTCTATTTAATCTATTCGTTCTATATATATATATATATATATATATATATATATATATATATATATATATTGTTTCCTAAATTATTATTTTTTTTTTTAATGTGTTTTATAATTTGTAGATTAATTAAAAAAATAGCCTTACATTTTAGTGTCGTATTAAAAATATTATGATAATTTTTAAGGGTTGTATAATTTTCATATTTGCACATTGCTCGACTTGGAAAAATTAAAGAAGAGGAACTCTGTTGCTTTAAAAAAAAATAGCGTCTCCAAAACTTGTTAAACATAATATTATTAGAGGGACGCTAACATTTCTGAAAATTAGTTGGGGTACTCCGTCACACTGCGTCCCCCCACAAGTCGAGCACTGTACTTACAATATAGATGTTGTATACATTTTATGATTCAGAGTGGCTTCCGGATGCAATAGAAACTAAATGTGAAGGTTGTTCAGAAAAACAAAAGCAAGGCGCCGAAAAAGTCATTAAATTTTTAATCCAAAAGAGAAGTGATATTTGGAAACAACTCGAAGAAAAATACGATCCTCAAGGAACATACAGACAGCGTTACTCGAAATTATTGGAGACTATGAAGAATTAAGCTTGAATAAAAATTACTTAGAAAAAATCATCACAAATTTATTGTAGTTTATTTTATTATATTAAAATGTTAGGGTAAAAATATAATGGAAATATTTAATAAAATACATTATTGTCTATTCCAATTTTATTATTTTATTTTTCACGTTACTGTTAGGAACTCTTTTGTTCTAACAATAAAATTTAATATGTATACATTTGTTATGAAAAATCGTGCATAAGCAAACGGTTAAGTGTATGTAAAATTGTATTGATATACTTAATATATTATTTTAGTGAAAACGAAAATCTCTGTAAAGAATCGTACACGATAAATTACAGAAAAAAATCGGTTAGTCTAAATTTTTATTATAAAACACCCATACCTTACAAAAAATATGTGGCAATCAAAGAAAAATGCATATTATACACGAAACTCTTGTGTTTAAATACAGCATGTACACTGAAAAACATAAACTCCAGGGGTGTCCTTATAGAGGGAGGGGGGTTATGTGTACAAATATTTTGTAAAGGAGACTAGTTCTAAATTCCAAAAGATATAAAAAAAAAAAAAAAAATGGTACTAGACTCTAAACCTGAATCCCATGTATATTAATATAAATTTTTTTACTATTTCCACCTCCTCCAAGGTCTGGAGATGCCACTGCACTACCCGCTAGTGTATTTTTATGGCGAACGATACGTAAACGAAACGTTCCGTCAATCGAAAATAATATCTTGGTGACTGTAATTTTCGACTTTATAATAGTACCAACCACAATGTTTTATATAATTTAAGGGGAGGTTACATTGAAATAATTGTAAAATAATTTTTTGTTTACTACCATAATATTATTATTATAATACATATAATACACTTCAACAAAACGATGGTATATTACAGTTTATTCACAAGATAAGAAATATTATTATATTTTAGCGATAACAGGAACAGGTATCTTAATTTTTTTTTACAAATAACCGGAACAGTTATTTTATTCTTTGAGAACCGGTAACGATAAATCCAAACGGTTCCAGTCCCTGGTTGGAACATAGATATTTCCTAGTAGAAATTTACAGAATAAAAATCATGACCGATGTGATTTTCAGAAAATGTCAAATAAAACACGTTTTAAAGGTTTTGTTTTTATTTATTAATTATTAACATAATTTGTCCGATTGCATTTGCAGGTATTAGGTCGAAATCGGGCTGAAATGAATCCCTATGGACATGGGCGAGTTACAGACCATTTTGTACGTAATTAGGCGTTTGAATCTTTCGAATCACTCCATAAATATAGCGTTGAAATATCAACGTGAATTGCGATCGGCCCGACGGTTTTTGTCATAGAAAAGAGATTAGTTTTTGTCCTGTGTATAACGAACGCGAGTTGTACCGCCTAGCCGTAGACAGATAGCGTTCGGTGATATCTCAGCCCGGTGAAATTGTCGGGGGAGGTCGCTACGGTGGTTTCAACGAAATCAATTTTAATGGTCGAAAAAAGCTTTGAAATACCATTAATAATTGATGTATTGTTTTCGACGGAAGGCTTCACCCCCGGACAAACAAATAATGTATATTCCATTATTTGTTTAGTCCGAACACAATCGGGCCGTAATAAAAAGTGATGTTTAGTTGCGGAACGTTTGTTTGTTATTTCCGCGTCACGAAATTATAATAAAAATCGTAATTCAGACCGTGCCATACACTTGTACACTACAAACACGTTGTCTTCCATAAACGACGTCGATGCCGTATGAACATTATCATCTATTGACGTCCGACTACGGTCTTTTTACTCTTGCAGTACCGTTGCCAACCGAGCGGAACATTCGGTTTTCAATCGGCACGAAAACACGCAGTTCCTATATTAATGTTATTCTTGTTGCTCTCGTTTCGTTTATCGGTAGACGGCAGGTTATAACTGTCGCACTTATTGCTTTGGGACTCAAGCGGATGACAATTATCGCGTAATACAAACAACAGGTCCTCGTATATTATTATTATCGTTGGGATTATTTTCATATTTCAATTGTTACCTGAGAAAAAAGACCGTACAAGACCACACATTGGACTACGACAGACGACAGGCAAATCGTCACCGAGAAGCGCTCGTTGACCCGATACTGTTGGGGAGTTCAAAGTCGACTGAATAGTGATGTTGTGATTTTTTTTTTTTCTTTTTTGATCAGAAATATTTGTTGCGGTGTGATTTGTATTGTATTTCATTTAACTACAGTATATATATATTGGAGATATGTATACACACGTGGACACAAAAAAAAAAAAAAAAAAGAGAGAAAAAAAACATTTTGTAACTTTTGATTCACATGCCTCACGGTGTGGTAAATGACGTCCGCGAGGGGTAAAATATTTGCGTGTGTTCGTACACGCGGTAGAACTAATTTTATTATTATTGAATAATTTCGCCGTGGCCGGTTTACAGATATTTTATATATTTAATAGTTTTACATTTTCCTTTTATTTTATTATTATTTTTCGTCGAGTTTTATGCCATTTAGGTTTTCTCAACGATACATACATTAAACTAGTACAGATTTGAATAAATACTTCCTAATTAACCTGCTAAAATGTTTGTTTTTTCTACCAAGTTATCGGTAAAATCCTGTATGTTCCAACCACTGATCTCGGCCACAGGTTGGCGACCCTAAAATACGGCGCTCCGTCAGTTAATTTGCGATACGTCCGTATTACAAATATTATATTTACATATATGATGAGCAGAATGATATGAACTGTTCAATAAAAAATTATGTAATAGTTGTATCAGCGTTTTCTATCTGTGTTTGATATAATTTAAAATTGGTCAAAGGTTGGTTAAAAATTGATTTTATATTGTTTTTATGATTAGATGTTACTGAAAATACGTGACTATTATTATATTATTAGATATTTTCGATATATTATTAGGGATTTGTGTAAATATATTTATCTAATATTAATGAAAAAATAATGGAAAAAGATTTAAATTAAAATTAAAAATATAATAAATAAAAATATTAACTTGCATTATAAATTAGTTTTATTATTTAAAAAGTAATCTGAAAAATGTCATCAGATTTTAAAATATTGTACTTAAAAAATATAGAAAGTATATTTTTTTTAAATACTGTATAATTTTATAGTTATTTTTATCCATAATTCAAATACTTATCTGTTAATATTATATCAAAACTTTCAGAGCGGTTTCTTTTACATGGAGTTTGATGGAGCGTTTCGGTTGGGATTATACTGTTCGCTATAAAACATAGCCGAGAAATATTTCCCATATAGCTCTAACCGTGTATACTTATTACTTATTTATACCACAGTCAGTAGGAGATTGTTTTAGCTATTACGCTAATCACTAATATACGTATTAAAGTTTTTTATTCAACGTGTTAAATAAAAACGACTGCAATGAATACCGAAAAACATTTTATTCAATAGGTACATGTATTATCGACGAAAGTTTGAAATAATGTTACGTTAGTTCTAAATCCAGAAACGTTTCTACCAATGAAAAGTTCAGGGTCGGGACAAAGTTTTCACAACTTTTGGTGCGTTTTTTCGATTGTTTTACTAACAGAAAAAGTTTTATTTAATACTTTCGAGCCGACTGTTGATAAATCGCATATGGAATTCGCATTATAGTGTTTCGTCGTACAACAATGTATACGTAATAAATGAATAACATATAATATATTATAATGTACGTTTTTAATGCGGTACATAATATTTTATAACACTCAGTAACTACAATAAATGTGGTGAGAGATTGATAAAATTGTACTTATTAATTGAATCAAGTAAATAAATTTCCTTTTTACTTAAACTAAATGTTTAAGTTTTCTATTCGTACGATGTTGAACAATTGAAACATCCAGAGTATTTATCGCGCGACAAAACGTATGACCGCTAGTCACTACATATTTGTCTTGTTACAAAATATGGTTTTCTGGAAAACATAAAGAACTGGCGATATACGGTGGTATGCGTATGCATCTGACTCATATAATTTGAAATACATCATTTTGATTACGTCTCAACAGCAACAAAATTAACAAAAAAAATGCAAACTATTTCTGCGGTTTCTAAAACGACACGGAAGTATAATTTTTGCATATACGCAAGAACAGAAGTTTTATATCGGTCAAAATTTATTAAGTAATTGCAACGTTACAATCGTGAACTTACTTTTCATACATTATCGTATCATATTATTTTAAATTATACTTATTAATATAACACTAAACTATTGTTGGCAGTTTTCGTTCGATTATTTATAAAAGCATTCGTATAATAACACGTATAGCTTACACAATTTACTGCACTGTATAATATTTAGTATGTAAATAATACACTAAATATTACAAAGATTGAACATTTATAACCTTCACGATCGCTATAATGATAAAAATAACACAAATATCATTTCGAATGACGTCCGTTTTCGTAATCTAGGAAAATCGCAATTTCGTATCTTTTTTCCGTCGACAGTTTAATTAACAGATGTATAGTTGTATCATTTCCGGCTGAAAAGATGTGCAAAGCGTTAGACTGCAACGGACCTTATATCATCGATCTTCATTCGTGGTATGAAAAATGATCGGAAATGTTAAAAATAAAGTAATTTTTTCAATAAAACTATAAAAGTGAAAAAATATCGAACTTGTCTGAGAAGATATTGTTGACTGAGATTGCGGGGATTTTATGTTAATGTCATTAGTGTCATACAGATTATAATATGAATGTTACACCAATAATGTTATGTTATATTTTTAATAAATAGGATTTTAAGGTATTCATGGAAACGATATATTTTTCTAGTTGATCTAAATCTAAAGCTAGTCTAAGGATACTTTATGTAAGTGAATTATTAAACATTAGTTAACTAAAACAATTACATTTTGTACATAAAAAATTGTACACGAATATCTTGTGAAAAAAAGCAGCTCACTGACGGTACATCGATAATAATAATTTGAGTAAAATATGTTAATCAATATACCCCTATAATCGTATTATACTTTTCGTTTTAATGATCTATCTGATTTTTGTTTAAGATATTCAAATGATTTTTGTGTGTTTGAGGAAAAAG